AACTTTTGGTGCGGCACAGGAACTTCTTTAGCATGCTATAAAGAAGGGCCAATTCTCCAATATGCTGTGTCACCTCGCCCCTTTCGTGTCCTCGTTTCACACTTCAGCTGAGCTCGCATTCCATAACCCCAAGTCAATGCACAAGATGCACAGTACATAGGATGATGAAACAAAACACAGACAATGTGACTCTCTTAAGGCAGAAATGAATTGAAAATGCCTTGGAATGCCTGAATGATGATGAAAACAACAAAGTCATTATCAGTCATTTTTTTAATCCATATCCTTGTGAAAAGCTGAATTTATCCTCATGCACTCGTGTAATATGGAATTCTCACACTTGAGTGAGGCTTGACATGGCCTGTAGTTTTCCCTGAGAGAATGGCAATAAAAATGAACATTTCTGACTTTCAGTCATCAACTTACCACCTCACAACTACCTTGACACAGCTGTGCAAGTTCTCCACCTCAGAGATGCATTCAACATATGTATACATACTTGAGAAGGCCAGGTGCTGAAAGAAGTAGGTCTGACAGGATCAGGCAAAAATCAGACCCTTTGAAAATCGAAAACAGAAAATACTCCCTAGAAAAATTAAGCAATTACCCAATTAAAAAAAAAAGTACTGTATTTTTCAGACTATAAGGTGTTCTGGAGTATAAATCGCACCAGTTAAAAAAATGTCTTGTGAGGAAGAAACAAAAAGTTGTGACGCAGAGTAGGTTGCATTTTTGGACAAACTTTATTTTACAAAAACCCAGACCATGTGCATGCGATGAAAAGTTGTCGCCAACAGGTCGTCATGCGCCAAAACGTAGTCTATGATGGGGTAGAACAGTCATGTGTGGAAAAATAATCGTAGAAAGGTGGGGGAGAGGCCAGGGCAGTTCGCAGCCTTGATGCCCAGGACGGGCCCAGATATACACAGGCCATTTGGGAAAATTGACATATTTTCCTGAAATTCCTTCGGGCCACCCTGCCCCCGGTTGACTACTACTTCTACTACTTCTGCTTCCATTTCTTCTGCTGTCTTTTGGAGGGAGGCAATACCTTTTGGTGCGGCACAGCAACTTCTTTAGCATGCTATAAAGAAAGGCCAATTCTCCAATATGCTGTGTCACCTCGCCCCTTTCGTGTCCTCGTTTCACACTTCAGCTGAGCTCGCATTCCATAACCCCAAGTCAATGCAAATTTGACCAAACTAGTGGGAAACTGGGGCGGCACGGGAGTCGACTGGTTAGCACATCTGCTTCACGTTGAATCGGGCATTGGCCTGATTGCAGGCTTCAGCCTTCCTGTGTGGAGTCTGCATGGTCTCACCGTGTCTGCGTGGGTTTTCTCTGGGTAGTCCTGGTTACTCCCACATTCAAAAATCATGCATAGCAGGTTAATGAAACACTCAAAATTGTCCCTTGGTGCGACTGTGAGCGCGAATGGTTGTTCGTCTATTGGTGCCCTGTAATTAGCTGACAGCCAGTTCAGGGTGTACTCCTGGGAGAGGCTCCAGCACACCTACAACGCTTATGAGAATAAACAGATTAGAAAATTGATGGATGGATGGATCGTGGGAAACTGGCGACATTTGGTGGAATTCCTGTGCCTTTGCCTAAAAAAGGCATTTCAAGTGTAAATATGGACTCAATCAACATGTTTTACATCTTTAGACGTCACCTATGTATTGTCCAAATGTGGATGCGGTAGTTGGCGACATTCTGCAAAAGTGCCACAGATCGTGCAAATAGTGGAGCCACAGCTGCCATCGATTTGAAGTCCAAGTTTTTACTTTACTTCAACTTACTGCAGTTTAAATATCATTTTAAGCAGCAAAACTCTCAGAACAACAATCGATTTAACTCATGTTTGAAATGACTAAGCATCAATGAAACAGTTGCATTTGCGACCGGGCCGCACGGAGACTGACCTGTGAACCGTGAGCATATTTAAGCCATCAGACATGCCGGAAATGTGCGCGACTCAAGCCAATCGGAGTCCCCTTTCTAACATTGATTTGAAAGTTGAAATTATTTGAATCCGCCAATAAATGAAACAAGAAGCAGTAAACAGAAAGTAGTCGTAACAACAACACCTAAAGCCGCAGCTGCTGGGCAGCCATGTTTACCGAAGATGAAGCTATTTTGACAAGTGAAGTTCCTCTCCTGGCGGTATCTCCAGAGTGACGTGGAGGAGGAAGTGACAAAAATCAGACCCTTTGAAAGTCGAAAATAGAAAATACTCCCTAGAAATATTAAGTAATTACCCAATTAAAAAAAAAAAAGTACTGTATTTTTCAGACTATAAGTTGTTCTGGAGTATAAATCGTACCAGTTAAAAAAAATGTCTTGTGAGGAAGAAAAAAAAAGTTGTGACGCAGAGGAGGTTGCATTTTTGGACAAACTTTATTTTACAAAAACCCAGACCATGTGCATGCGATGAAAAGTTGTCGCCAACAGGTCGTCATGCACCAAAACGTAGTCTACGATGGGGTGGAACAGTCATGTGTGGAAAAATAATCGTAGAAAGATGGGGGAGAGGCCCGGGCAGTTCACAGCCTTGATGCCCAGGACGGGCCCAGAAATACACAGGCCATTTGGGAAAATTGACATATTTTCCTGAAATTCCTTCGGGCCACCCTGCCCCCGGTTGACTACTACTTCTACTACTTCTGCTTCCATTTCTTCTGCTGTCTTTTGGAGGGAGGCAATAACTTTTGGTGCGGCACAGGAACTTCTTTAGCATGCTATAAAGAAGGGCCAATTCTCCAATATGCTGTGTCACCTCGCCCCTTTCGTGTCCTCGTTTCACACTTCAGCTGAGCTCGCATTCCATAACCCCAAGTCAATGCAAATTTGACCAAACTAGTGGGAAACTGGGGCGGCACGGGAGTCGACTGGTTAGCACATCTGCTTCACGTTGAATCGGGCATTGGCCTGATTGCAGGCTTCAGCCTTCCTGTGTGGAGTCTGCATGGTCTCACCGTGTCTGCGTGGGTTTTCTCTGGGTAGTCCTGGTTACTCCCACATTCAAAAATCATGCATAGCAGGTTAATGAAACACTCAAAATTGTCCCTTGGTGCGACTGTGAGCGCGAATGGTTGTTCGTCTATTGGTGCCCTGTAATTAGCTGACAGCCAGTTCAGGGTGTACTCCTGGGAGAGGCTCCAGCACACCTACAACGCTTATGAGAATAAACAGATTAGAAAATTGATGGATGGATGGATCGTGGGAAACTGGCGACATTTGGTGGAATTCCTGTGCCTTTGCCTAAAAAAGGCATTTCAAGTGTAAATATGGACTCAATCAACATGTTTTACATCTTTAGACGTCACCTATGTATTGTCCAAATGTGGATGCGGTAGTTGGCGACATTCTGCAAAAGTGCCACAGATCGTGCAAAT